AAAAAAAAAAAAAAAAAAAAGAAGCCAAAATACAGAACATAACATTTTCATTGCATAAGTAGTATTCTCAAAGTAATTTTACATTAAAAAAGATACATTTGCTGAACTATTACCTACAATGAAAAAAAAGGTTAACTTCTTTTGCCTGGTTTTCTTGTATGGAAATCAACTGTCATCTGCAGAGAAAGGTTAACTGAACTGATTTTCTATCAGTTGGAATTAACATCCCGTGGTCTAGATGAATGATCATTTCTATGTAGCATCACCTTCCTAAGCATTCTTATTGGTTCTGAGAAATAATTAAGACCAGTGCCAATATGTGATATGACTCAGTTCTCTTCTAATGGATTTATTTTTATTTTAGGGGCTTAATCAAGAAAAATATAACTAGCAGATATTTTTGTGAAGGATGGCATTGGATTAGAGATCTTGGGAGGAACAGGGTAGGAAAGATTAAGGGTATGTGGGCATCAGGATTCATCAGGTAGCTAGTGCCTGGCACACAGCTGCCAATCAATAGAGATTAGCCCATGGGGAATATAACAGGCCCCTTTTTATAAACGGTGCAACAGAAACTCTGAAACTTTAGTACAGCGGGGGAGTGGTTGCACTAGGATCTGTCATTACACCACAGAGGGCTTTTTTTACACTTACTGTGTGTTGTGTCCTTAATGTCTATCTGAAGAACACTGAGGCCCCTGCCTCTTGTTCCATGTGGGGCCTGGACCCACACTCTGTCCAGGCCTGTGTTCAGGTCTACCTGGGACATGTACTGTCTGTCCAAGGAGAGACAGATAGCAGTCTTTGTTTTGATGTGGAAAAGCCCAGATGTTCACCTACAACTTTTTACTACTATGCCAAGCTCTAGCACTGCATCCCAGACTCCACCAGGGAAAGAACTAGTAAGGAGGGGGGACGGAGCTGTGAGCATCATAATGGAGAGAACAAGAGCAGAACCAGTGCAGTTGCTGAGAGCAAGGTCAAGGGCGTGCTGAGACTCTTACTCTTTCAGCGAGGCCTGCCACTTCCTATCATGCCATCTGCTGACAACCAAGCCTATATCTGGGGATATTTCAGATCTAAACCATAACATCAGAGGCACCAGAAGTTTGCTGTTTGGAAAGAGTAACAAATTGATGCCTTCTAATGGAAGTGGGGAATGAGGCAGGGTGTGGGAGAAGTAAAATCTGAAATGAGAGGACATTAAAACTTGCTTGACAGAAATGAAAAGGTTTCTGAGGGAATACTAGAACAATTACTACAACAAGATGGCTAGCCTAGATGAAACAGACAAAGGTCCTCGAATACACAGCCTCCCAAGACTGAATCCTGCCCAAACAGAAGATCTTACAGAGTCCAGCTACTAAGGAAATCAGAATCTCCATTCTCCCCAAAAAAGAAAAGCCCAGGGCCAGTTTCTCTGGTAAAACAAACAGTTAAAGAGTTCACACTAGGCTTCCTGAGAGTATTCAAAAACGTCAAAGAGGAATGATTACTTCCAAACTTATTCCACGAGGCTAGCATTGCTCCAAAGCCAGAGTCAGAGGAGGACCCTAAAGAAAACTACAGACCAAATAAATAAATAAATAAATAAGAAAAAGAAAACTACAGACCAACATCCCTACACAGATATGACAGTCCTAAGCAGAATATCCTCCAGTGGAATGCAACAATATATTTTAAGGCATTGCATCATGAGCAAGTGAGATTCATCCCTGGAATGCAAAAATGAGACATAGAAAAAAAAATCATTGTAATACATTGGATAACAAAAAAATAGTCATCTCTATTTCATGGTAAGAACACTCAAAGTAGGAACAGAAGGAAACTGCTTCAGCATGGTAGAAGCCATACATAACAAGTGCACAGTAGACTTGACCAAGGTTATTTTCCTGAGGAACTTGCAGTTTTCTCTCATTCCCGTTAGCGCGCAGGGTTCCAGCTTCTGCACATCTTCACCACATGTGTCATACGGATTTGCTGTTTTGGGAAGTGCTCATCTTCCTGCTCATGAAGTGGGATTGTACTGTGGTTTTGATTTGTTGATCCCAAATAGTTGGTAGCCTTGAGCATCTTTTCTAGAGAAATTTATTTTCCAGTCATTTGACCAATATTAGAATTAAATCTGTTATGGTTTTGGAATTTGTATAGTCTCAGTAATCACTACCAGATACAGTACATGATTTGCACTTACTTTCTCCTGTTTCATAGGTTGTGGTTTACACTTTTGATTGTATTCTTTAATTCACGGACATTTTAAAATTTGTTGCAATCCCAGTTATTTTTAATTTTGTTTGTGATTTTGGTGTCACATCCAGCAGTTACCTAAGGTCATCAGTGGCCTCCGTGACTGAATCCTGATGGTTTTGTGAGAGGGAACAAAAGTAGGACACGAGCATATGCACACTCTCTGCAGCATGGTGCACTTGGAACTTCTGGCCAGGCTATCCAGATGCAAGACTTGAACTGTGAGCTAAATAAACTTCTTTTTATGAACCTACCAGTACAGTAACACACAATGGACTGCTACACCCCACAGAAATCCAACTGAGACAAGAGGCAAATAGGCAACGGAAGTATGAAACGAGCAAACACAGCGAGTGGTATTTGACATAGCAGCCTGGTGTCCCCAGAACCTGGAGTCAGTTCCTGGACTTTGAGAAGCTGCTTGGATGTCAGCTCACTGTGCTGCAGTGGCTGTAAGGGGCACGGACTGAGGGAACGACCGCCTCCAGACACAGGCTCTTACCTGCTGGCCAACACAAGGAGTCCCTCCTTCATGCCATCAACTATCAGAGATCCGAAGTAAGTGAGGAAGAAGAGGGAAGACATTCCTGCAGGACCTAAGATGAGGGCTAAAATGCCCAAAATTCCCATGAATGGTAAAGAACACACGAGTCCTCCTCATCACAACCTTTTGGAATCTCTGGGACGAGGACAAGACCTCAGGCCTCCTGAGGAAGTTCAAGTCACACACGAAGTGCAGTCTCTGTAATGGAGCTGGACTTCTCAGCAAGAACATAGGAGAGTAGAAAGTGGTCAGAACACTCTAGACTCCTTCACCTTGCCATGTTACCAGTCTGGGGTGGGAAATATGAGGGTGGGAAACAGGCTTTGGCAAAATGAAGGACTCAGTCACAGAAAAGACAGGCTCCAGCATGGGAAGCTGAAGGGCTGTCCAGGCCCAGCCAGAGAGAGCAGGACCAGAGGGACCAGCACCACAAAATGTGACACGGGACAACTGCCCCAGTACTGAGTGGACACCAAAGCAAAACAAGCCCAAAGCATTTTTAACTCCAAGAAAAAGAAGAAAGTGCCCCAGGAAGGAAATTTAATCACAGTACACTCTGTGTCTTCGCTGAGAGCAGTGTTTACAAAGTTCTAACGCTGGAATGAATATGGATTTGACCCAGATTCTCCTGGGAGGTGGTGGGGCAGGTGTAGCACAAGTGCTGGCTGCATGGTGACAGCGTGCTGCGGGCAGGCGTAGCCGTCCACCCTTGCGGCAGGCTGCTGTTGGCTCTGCATTCAGTTTCTAGTTTAGTGGAGTCACAGTATAGAGAGATGCAACGATTTGCCTAAAGTCGCCCAGGATAAGTAAAGCCTTACAGCCAGGATTTCAACAGGCAGTCTGGTTTTAAAGTCTGCTTTAAGCCACTGTGCCTGCCAGTCAGGACAACAAGACCCAATTTAAAACATCAAGTAGCAGCAGTGGAAGTAACTGGAGGCAAACACCTATGTTGCCAGTTAAGCAGCTTCAGGGTTGCCTCTGAGGAGTGAGAAGAGGTAGGAATTTTTCTCTCACAGCTATTACAGATTGCCTAGGACGCATCTTTCTAGCGTTCGTCTTCTGCAGGGCTGGGGATGAAACCAGAGCTGCCTGTGTGAACAGGTGCTGTCCCCCAGCCCCATCTCTGGAGTCTGCCACCAGCTGCCATTAAACAGCGCTGGGCAAAGGCAGCAGAACCCAGGGCTTTGCAGGGGAGCTGCTACTCCTTTTCTGATTTTTGTTGGAGTCACTTTTGTTCCATAACAGTCCGTGGGCCAGATCCAGGCAATGGTAGATATTTACCTTCAGGAGCAGCCAGGGCTGCTGCCATGAGTCACGGTGAGTCACCCTGAAGCATCATTACCTTCCAAGACCTTGAGGGAGGAAGTGTGACAGGTGCCACCATTAGAATTTTGCTGGCTCAGACTGCCAAGGCCAGAATATGAATGTGAAGCCTGCATTCTCCCTGGCAGCCGGCCTCCAGGCGGTTATGTTGCGTGTGTGTTTGCACGCTGCGGTCCTTCATTTTTCTAAGGTTTTTATTATATACATTTCCAAATCCTTTTTAAGACATTGAAAACTACTTGAGAAGCTGCAGTTATGTGGGGCAGCCCAGGCCAGGCTGTCCCCATGTGACATGACCGTGTTCTTGAAAATGCCCTTTCTTGGTCCTTCTGTAAAGGGCATCAGGTCTCCTGGAACACTGGCTGGTGCCCTCCACACAGTGCTCAAGAGGCTGGTTACAGGAGCAGCTGCTCACCAGATGCGGTGCTGGGAGGTTGCTGTGTTAGAAGCTGCTCCATTTGGGGTGGTCAGGCAGGGGGCGGTACAGGGTGTAAAGAAGTTTGAGGTGGCCTCCAGCTTGCGCCTTCACTCCTGAGAGGAGTGGCAGAAGCCCGGGAGGCCTACATGAAGCTATCTGAATGCAGTGGGCTGCGAAGCCCGAGCACATCAGTGAATACTTCCAGGAAGGGGCGGTTTGTCCAGGTGGGACAGTGTGCCCCATGTGACCTGTCTTCTGTCACCCCAGACAGCTGTCCAAGGGCTCTTGAGTATTGCTGTGGTGTTTCTAGGCCCCCAAATGGAAAACAAGGCCACTGTCAAGTCCCCTGGGATAAGTGGAAGAATTTTATAATCTCAAGTATTTGCCCTTTCTTTAGACCAGGGATTGAAACTACAGGTCAGTCTGGCCTGCTATCTATTTTCTCCCAGCCCCCAAGCTAAGAATGGCTTTTCTGTTCCTTCCCTTCTTTCTTCTTCCTCCCTCTTTTCTACTCTCTTTTTATATACTGAGGATTAAACCTAGGTCCTGTGTACTGAGCTACAGCCCCAGCCCTTTTAAAATTTTTTTACATTGAAGACAGAGTCCTGATAAATTACTAAGTTGCCCAGGCTGGGCTGGAACTTGTGATACTGCTGTGTCAGCCTCCCAGAGTGTTGTGATTACAGGTGTGCACCAC